CATAATGGTAATAACTTGATGCTAGGAGCATCACCTAAGAACAATGTTTTTACAGACGACTCAATCATATTTTTTATTTTTTTCCCCAATATTTCAAGCAATAACTAAATGGTAAAATGATCATAATTTGAACATAAAAATGCATAGTATCTCTAATTCCAGTATAAAAACTAATTGAAGAGTTGTTTTGCTTATATTAAAGTGAAAGGTTCACCCTTGAGCAATTTTTAATAGAAAACAATTGAAGGGATATTTTAACAAAATCAACATACATATTTTTTATAATTAATTTTATTAATTTTTATAAATTAGTCATTCAACTCTCAAGATTAGAGAAATTATTAAAAAAAATCATTTTAATGTAGAAAGAGAAGGGTTCTTGCTGGCAAAAAAATAAAAAACGAAGAAGAGATTGCTCCTTGGACTACTTGAGCAGATCCGAGAGGAAATTGATTGGCTGATTTTGCACCTTTCATTTCATTACTCTTTATTTATTTTAATATTTTGTTTCCCAAAATATTTTACAATTTAAATTCAAATCCCGAAAAGATCGCATGCTTTATTCTAAGAAGAGAGAGAATGGAGAAGACCGCTTGGAACTCACGGGAATTTGTCACTTTCCTAAATAACAACAAACTTATACCCTCTAAGCTCCTTAGTCCTCCCTCTCTCTCTAGCCTTAAGTCTGAAAACTTCTTCAGACTTGATTTTTCCTTATACTGTGAAACAAAGGTACTCTTCCACTTCTTAATATAAGATTTATTTAATTAATTTGATTAGGTTAAAAAAGTTAGTAAGTTAGTTAATTATAAGAAATATGACACGTTTTTTCAAAATACCATAATCATCTTTCTTAATACTCCCTTCTGTTGTATTTGATTATGATTGAGGGAGTATCCATAAGGATAATTTAGAGAAAATTGATAAATATGAGAAATGTGTCTTATATTTAAGACCAAAACTAACTCAATAATTGAGTCTTATATTAAGGATCAGAAGAGTACCGTGTAAGAAAAGTAATGGTGCAATTTTATTTTGATCTTTTGTTTTTTAAATACATTCAGTATTGTGAATTTTTAGTGATGCAATTGCAATTTTACTGATGATTTTGCAGTTTTACTTTTGATCTTATTTCTTAACTGCATTAAAATAAAATATCATGGATAAAGTTGCACAAAATAGATTGTGAGTAAAATTGTACTACTAAAAAATCAAGGGGTTTGCAACTAAGAAATAAAATCAAGACTGCAATTGCGTATTTACCCCATAAAAAAATTTAATTCCCATGTGTTTATGGTTTAACTCAATTTTTTTCAATAGTTTATTTTATTTGAATTAGATGCTTGTTACTTGATTCGTTAATTTTAACGTATATGCTTATGAAATTTTGTTTATAATAATTCACATGTGTTAGAATGATGGTAAATGAAACGAAAGAAACTTGAAAAGATCATAAAATTCTATAAATTAACATTTACTGATTTTTACGCTTAAGGATGAATCTCTGTAATAGATCATATCATAAGAGCCCAATTTAAATTAAACAAACTATAAAAACTAATTTAAAATTAAAGTAAATTATAATGATCTCTCCAGATTAAATTTCCTATAGAATCCGTTTAAGTAGTTTAACACTTGTTTTCTGAAATATGATTTTGAATTTAAGTCTTGTATATGGTACTATATGAAATTAAATTTTCGATTTATGCTTTTCCTTTTGTTTTTTTTTTCTGGAAAAAAATTGAATATCCTACCATGCAGGGTGTTGTATATGTTCCAGTTCAATTCAGATGAGTGAAAGTATCATCTTAGTTTCAAGTAAAGGAAAGACTACCCATTAAAATGACGTTAATTATTCAATTTCAACGTATTAATTATAATTCATTTTGGTTGTAATAAAAAAGACAGACCGATTTTTAAGAAAGAAGTTAATTATTCAATGAATTTTTAATTAATTTTCATACCAACAAACATGAAATGGACACAAAGTGGAATATTAGACCATCCCACTTCCACTAACTGGCATAATTAAGGCTTTAACCACTTTTTTTTAAAAAAAAAAATTCAGAGCTTAGTGGTGAATGACTTTCAAACCCTCTTCCATTTGATGTTGAACTTTGAGGTTTTGTTTATTTTATTTTTGGTCTAATTTCTTTTTCAACTTCAAATGATAGTTTTTATAATAAAGTTATGAAAAATTCAGTGAATATGCTAAAATGAAATTATCCAAAGTAAGGCTAATTAAGACCACGATTGAGAGTTGACAACACTAACTCACAAAGTGAGAAGCCTTTTATTTATTTATTATAAAAGATCAAATGATATTAATAAGAAAAATGTACCATTATATGTTCAACAAAAAAAAAATGTAACATTACCTAAACTAGAAAATAATTTTAAGAAAACATATATCTTGAATGATAGTTCCAATTGCTCTTTCACCAATATGTGTCAATTGCTTGATGAAAGCCAAAATTTGTTGTGATTGATTACTAAAAGAGTATGGCCATGCAAATAAATCCCAAATGACAGATTGTAGCTTTGCTTTTGGTTTTGACTTTATGTAAGATGATAGCTCAACCACTACGAGAAGCCTTTTCTTTAATTGTCTTACAACAATTAGTGGTTTTAAGAATTTTTAATACTATAATTTTAGAAAAATACATTAATTAATTTCACACGCCTTACTTAGCCTATGATGTTTTTTTTTTGAAAAAACATGAAAGGTTAAAAATATAAATCATTTGTGTGTCACATATTAACAGTTAAAATTAACAAAAGGGTCATTTATAAAAAAGAAATTATCATAAGCATATAATTATCTTGATTTTATTTTTATTGTTACGCAAAAATATCATAAATAATAACATAACTATCATATTTTGAGTGATATTAGATTAGATTCATATCATACCGTGGTTTTTATAATCATTTTTATTGATTAGATTAAAATAAAAAAAATCTATAAATATATAGAATGCCAATTTAGGTAGGCTTAATCGATAGTGCTTAGTAGATGGTTGGAGGCTTAATTTCTATTTATTTATTTTTATTCTCTGTATACAAATTAGGCTTTATTACTGATAGATGATACTTTTTTCATTCATATTAAATTCGAGGAAAAATTGTTAAAAGATCCCATCAACAGTGTTCCACATGTATCCTTAGCTATGTGCAAATATTTTTCATTTGAGATATAACTGAAGATAAGCTATGTTATAGACAGTTAAAGAAGAGTTACATTCTCTAAGTATATGTTTGTATCTAAGTACTTAAAAAAACTTTTGGATAATAAATTTTGTAATAAGGATCTTTCATAATTTTTCCTACATTTTATATTAATGTGTATATTGCATCATATATTATTAAGGTTGTCAAACTCATGTGTTTAAACAAACTCACTGTAAAGACGTAAACTCTTAGAGTTATAAGAGTTTGCTTTTACCAATAAATAGCTATTAAAAATATAGGAATAACAATAATTTTATTTAAATATATTTCAAATTTAAATAACTGAAATTAAATCCATCAACTTTTATAATTTATCATACTCAACAATTTTTTTTAATAAAATTCATATATAAAGTTACTGATCATAATCAAATAAAAAAAATTAATACGAGTTTAAAAATGAGTTGACACGATTTTATAAGCTAAAAATATTAAAACAGTAAACTTAGTTATAAACTCATACATTAAATCAAATTTGCACTTAACATGAGTTTAAAAAAAAGTCAACATAAAGTTTATAAATTGAAAACATGAAAATACTAAACCCCGAGAGTCAACTCGTCACTTTCACCACAATGTATATTACAATCATTTACAAATTATTAAAGAATATATATATAGGATCGACCATGCATCCTTTACCATTTTAGAACAAGGCAACGGTTTCGTTTCATCTACTTCACCATTTAGTAATCGAGAATCTATAAATAATAGGCTACCAAATCACTTTCACTAACCAAAACCTTATTTTTCTATTCTTAATTATGTTTTTTCACCTGAATCTTAATTAGTTAGAACTAATCACATTCAAATTATCTCTCTATTTGCATAACTAACAAAGCTTTTGTTTTTATGCATACGTGTATTAGTTTAAGAATAATATACTAATTATGTATACTAAAGCTGCTGATATCATAGTAGCATATGAAGTTATATAAGGTAAAAGATGTATATATTATATTTAATAATTAGTTTAAGAAGATGTAAGGTAACCAAATCTATCATTGGGTGACATATAATATGATTCTATTTTTGAAAATGGAACTAAAATCTGCATATTATTTATTTAATAAGGTAAACTTCAATTCAAAAGGAATATATTTAATAAGGACCCCCTTTATGAAAGCTTAAAATAAGTTATTAATTAGATTGTCTAGAGATTAATTAATGTGATTCATAGTTTAGAGATTTTATGAAAAACATTATTTTGCTTGTATTTGGTTTCAATTATACTGATTGATTTATTGTTCCTTAATTTTTGGATTTTATAATATTTTTATTGACATTTTTATCATATGCTGCATATTATTATTTTCAAAGCGATAGTTTTGGCCAAAAAAGACTGATATCTAAAGTAACTTGTAAAAAATAATATGAAACATTATTTTTGATATTCTGATTATTTCTAAAAATTTAACAAATATTATAAAATTTCTCAAAATAATTCTTTTTTAAAAAAAGGTGATAGAAAACTGTAACAAATGGGTCTAAAGTTTTCTAAAAATATCAACCGTTTTTCTCTCCATAAATAATAAAAGTGAATAATAATAATAATAATAATAAATTAATAATTTTTTTTGAAAAGGCAAAATAACTAAAAGCAAGTTACAGTTAAGAGGAAAGGGTCCGTCCGGCATTTAAACGGCTTCGATCCTTGACACCACATCGCCTCTTCTCACTGTAAATCCACCTCTACCGCCTTGATTGCTGGCTTTCTCTCTAACATTTTCTCAGTCTCTCTCTTTCTCTTCCTCTTCTTCTCTCTCACTCTCTCCCTCCTCAACCTTCCCCCTCGATTCCCGCCAGAATCTTCTGTAATACCTTCATCTTCCTTCTCCCAGAATCTCATTGCTCATCGGCCGTTCCAACTTTCCAACCTTGAATTTGTTCCTGAATCCATTCATACTTGCATTGGATATATAATCTGAATGTAGTTTGATGTACTGATGCCTGTGAGCGTTGATCTCGGCATCCCTTTCCTTCTTCGCTCCCTAAAAACATTTTTCCTCTTTTCAAGTTGTTTCAGTTAGACCCAGTTGAGCGATTTTCAACTCTCTCCTTTGCTTCCTAAATGCTAATTTAGATCATGCTGGTGCGGCTTAGATTTAGTCCTGAAATTCATAGAAGCCGCATTGCCAATGCTTTAGTACTTGGGGTTCTGAAAATTATGGAGGTCTGAGAATTTGCGCACGCGCACTTTGTTATCTGAATAAATTCAGAGCTTCCCCTTGTTTAGTGGGCTGAGAGAGCATCTTTCTAGCATTAGAATATTTATAGTAAATAAGTTTCCTTTTATTAGCATTTATTTTAGCCGCGGAAAGAATCCAAAGGTGCAGTTTCTCGGCATTTAATGATCATCACTTAGTTCAAGGATTCTTAGAAGTATTTGAGAAGAGGAAGCTCTCTCACGTAAGCTGGTGAGTGAATCGAAGTGACCCTTTCACAGATGTTGCTTCGATGGGCGAAAAAAGGCGATGGGAAACTAAGCAAGCGCAGTAATGACATTGACGACATGGAAATGCAGCTCAATATTTTGGGCTCAGGCAAAATCGAAAGGCCTAAGAAATTGATTATGCGGCCTCGAATTAAGGTTTGGATGGTAAGGACAATTACAACTGTGATACTCTGGAGTTGTGTTGTTCAGCTTATGGCTCTGTGTGACTTGTGGGCTCCGAGATTGTTGAAGGACATGCCTTGCTATTTTAGTCACACTGGTTTACCTCCTCCTACAAAGATAGATGAAGACCAGTCTCGAGCTTCAGCTAAGGCTGAACTCTCACCCAGAAATGTAAGGATACAGAAAGAGAAGTCTCGCGTTTCAGATAAGCTTGTCCTGCCAACTGTAAGTGTAAAGATCGAGAAAGAGAAGCCTCGCGTTTCAGATAAGCTTGTCCTGCCAACTGTAAGTGTAAAGATCGAGAAAGAGAAGCCTCGCGTTTCAGATAAGCTTGTCCTGCCAACTGTAAGTGTAAAGATCGAGAAAGAGAAGTCTCGCGTTTCAGCCAAGCCTGTGCTTCCACCCAAAAGTAAGTTCTGGGGCTGACTCGTGTTCATCTTTAAGCTATTAATTACCAATGAACTTTGCCAACTGTAGAAGAAACGCATGTTTTGATCTGTTGCCGGTTACATCTTTTGGGGTTTCCCTTCCCAGATGATTTTTATTTTTCAGGATATACTTTGTTTTGTGTTAGTGAATCTAGGATTTTGATACTAGAGTTCTCACGAAGGAATCGAACCTACTATCCCTTCTTAGCAATTTACACCCCCCCCCCCCGGGGGGGGGGAGGGGTTGTTTCTGCAGCAGCCTCGTTACCCTTGTAGCATTTTTCTCATGAAATGGGATTACCATATAGCATCTTGCACGCCCGTCTTCTTTCCTGATACAATTTGGTGCTTGAGGATTCGAAGTTTTTCTGTTATGAATGATGTCCAATTCGTCCTGCATTTCCTTCTTATTGAAGATTGCACAGTACCTCTTCCCTCCCCTGAGGAGCAAAGCTTTGCTTTCTTTTCGGTTATGCTTTTGTATTTTGATGAACGTTGTACTCAATTATTTATTCTTGTCATCAGGGATATATAAGAACAATGGCTATATTATAGTTTCTTGCAATGGAGGACTCAACCAAATGCGAGCAGCAGTGAGTGCTGAACTTTCTTTCCCTTTAGTGTGATCATCTGACTATATCCATGTGTTTTTAGCTCTAGTCTGATTCACTTATTTAAGAACTATGATTTCAATCTTTGTTCTTCTTCTGCAGATATGTGACATGGTCACCATTGCTAGATACTTGAATGCAACTCTCATAGTTCCAGAGCTTGATAAAACCTCCTTCTGGGCTGATCCGAGGTTTGCCCTTAATTGCTTGCCATGTCTAGGATTATCCTGATTTCTTGTTTGGAATGACCTCATGTATGTTCCATTATTTTGCAGTGACTTTGAAGACATATTTGATGTAGATCATTTCATTACATCTTTAAGAGATGAGGTTCGAATATTAAAGAAACTACCACCTAGGCTCAAGAAAAGAGTTGATGCAAAGCAACACTACTCATTGTCGCCTGTTAGCTGGTCCAAGATATCATACTATGAACATCAGGTAGTATTTGTTTTTGGGCTTCCTATGTATACGGGGTTTTATCAGATTCATAGCTGAATTGGGTTTGCATCAAGGTCTCTGATTCTTCTGAATGTTTGTCACAGATCCTTCCTCTATTGCTGAAACACAAGGTTGTGCATTTAAACAGAACTGACACTCGACTAGCGAATAATGGACTACCTTTAGAGATTCAAAAGCTTCGGTGCCGAGTAAATTTAAATGCTCTGAGGTTTACCCCTCAGATAGAGCTACTTGGTAGAAGGATTGTCAAAATTTTGAGGGAAAAGGGACCTTTCATTGTACTTCATCTTAGATATGAGATGGACATGTTGGCTTTTTCAGGCTGTACGCAGGGCTGTGACAGTCGTGAGGTGAAGGAACTCACAGAAATGAGGTAATCTGCACTCTCTTTTGGGATTCAGCTCTGATCTTTTGACCCTACAAATAACTTAAGTTCCCCTGAGTCGAAGATTTATTAACACGATGTGCTATCTATTTTATTTCTTTGGTATCCATCTGATGTAATAATATAAGCGTGTGGTCATAGATATTCTAAAGACTGGTGGAAGGAGAAAGTAATTAATTCTGAAGTGAAGAGGAAAGAAGGTTTCTGCCCTTTGACACCTGAGGAAACTGCTCTGACATTGACAGCACTAGGCATAGATCGCAATGCCCAAATTTATATTGCTGCTGGTGATATATATGGTGGAGAGAGAAGGATGGCGAATTTACGCGCAGCATTTCCTAATCTGGTAAGTTGAAAGAAGTAGAAACGTATCACAAGCGCATCTTTGTCACTAAAACTTTCTCTAATTGCAACAGGCGAAGAAGGAAACTCTACTGGAGCCTTCAGATTTGCAGTACTTCCAAAATCATACCTCCCAAATGGCTGCTCTGGATTATCTAGTCTCTCTTGAGAGTGATATATTTATTCCAACTTATGATGGGAACATGGCTAAAGTCGTGGAAGGCCACCGCAGGTGCTGTTATGCTGCCACTTGTGCCCTTTATGCTTGGTCCACAAAAGATATTTGAATTTTCAATAAACTTCGGATTTTATATCTGCATAAAGTATATAGTAGATTTGACTCCGTTTGAAATGTTATTTTCACTTTGGCAAATCCTATTAGATGATGAATGAAAAACAAACTTTGACCATAGTTGATAACTAAACTGTCATTTTTTTTTAACCTCAATTATGTCTTCTGAAATTCACTTATTTCATTTGCTCCTCTTAATAATGCACAGATTCCTGGGATTCAAGAAGACATTACTACTGAAAAGGAAGCTGCTAGTGAACTTAATAGATCAGTACACCACAGGCTCATTAAGCTGGGATGAGTTCTCTACTATTGTAAAGGAATTTCATGCCTCTCAAATGGGAAGTCCCAAAACAAGAGTGGTCATACCAGAAAAACCCAAAGAAGAGGACTATTTTTATGCCAATCCGCAAGAATGTTTGCAAATGTTAGATGAACCATCGAGAAGCACATGATAATGCGAGTCTGATTTATATACATGGTTTCATCCATTGAATGGTGGCAACTGGTATATATATAATATATATTACTTGAGGAAGGTCCATGGTTCTTTACAAGAAAAAGGTTCTGGTACAAGAGAGTGAGACTGCCTGCTTATTCCTCACAAGCATCATTGGCATCATTTAGGTAACACTGATCAAATTCCATGTCTATGAGTGGACAGATTTTTGTGCGGAGCAAATAGTAAGTGATGTCAAATCTTCACCATAAGTGAAAGGTGCAGTATTTTCTATTCATTTATATCTAATCGCATAAAATTTTTCTTCAATAGTTTTACGCTAATGGCAACAAATACTCCACAGACATAGAAGCTTATAATAACATGAAGAAATTTCTTCACCAAATACTCCACCGTCTCTGTCATTGGTTTCTTGGAATTAAACTAAAGATTAAGAGGGAATGATTAACATCATAACCTCTCTAACCTAACCAGTGCACGATGAAATTTTTTGTTTTCAAAGAAGTAATTTGTAGACAAAAAAATAGCATCTGTATCCTTACCTTTAAAAAGTATTAAGAATAGATAAAAATTGCTGAGAATAATTATAAAATTATAAAAAACCCCTGGTTGAAAATTTAATTGGTTAAAAAGACATGAATTTAAGCAAGTATAATTATAACCCGTGAGTACAATATATTTTCCACTATGTGCAACATATCATTAATGATGTGCAACAATTATCAATATGGAAGTTATTTACACATAACGAAAGATATGTTGCATTCACAGATTATACTTGCACATACTCAAATTTGAGTCTTTTTAGCCAATTAAATTTTCAAATAGAGATTTTTTTACCAAATTTCCCAAATTATAATAGTATTTATGGACTCAAATTCTTTTCTTTGTATTTATTGTTTTGTTCCTTATTTCTCTCTACTTGATCCTTCATTTATTAATTTTGTATTTATTAATGCCAACCTATCAAACTCTCCAAGTCAATTCCTCGTTTAGTGCTCTGAGTGGAATTATTGAATTAATTTTGATGGATGACTTGACATTTTGGGCGCCACAAACTCATTTTGTTGGGCCTCCAATATGACCATATGCATACACATATATCATCATCATCATCATCATCCAACACACACAGATATATGAACCATCGGAGATCAATATCAGACAACTTTTAACGTGGAAGAAATTGGAAAACTCCAGAAAACTTCATCAGTGCCAACATCCAAATACAAGTGGCACAGTCAATGGTCCTAAGTTTATTACTCCCAATCCTTCTTTTTATAAGTTATAAATAATTAAATTATATAAATCAAGAAATTAATTAAAATTAGTTAAAAATAACAAGCGAGTAAAAAATATTTTTTTTAAATATATCATCCAAACAGATTTTTTTTTTGTTCTTAAAACTTGTTACCAAACAAGCCCTAAGGTAATATATGATATTGCATCCATAACTTATCTGGAGATTGATAAAGTTAATAAATTATTTTAAAATATTTATATTTATCGTTTTTCTTCAAACCAATTTGACTCATTTATAAATTGATATATAATCTAACGAGAGATGTAAATATTTTAGAGAAATTATGTAACATGTGTTATGGTTATGTAGTCTAATAACTTTCTTAATTTCTCCAAATTAGTCAATTATATCTTATATTAAAAACTGTAGATAATATTATTGATAAGTTAAGAACAAAGAATGCTAAATTGGAGGATGAAAAATGCAGGGCTAATGAATCTTGGAAGAAGATATTTGTGGAGCTACATGAAAGCTTTCAATTAAAATTAAAACAAACCCTTCAACTAGTTTTTATATTTAATTAGAAGTAAAGGCAGCAGTTGATAAGTTGAGATGGGAGCAAAGATGGCACTATAAATTTGATTGGTTTTTCTGCAATAATACTCACTGGGATGCTATTCATCTGCTCACCAAAGCTGCTCATCATTTTTGGACTTGAAAATTGACCATCGCTTAGTCATTTTCTCTTACGGGAATAACTTCAGTACGTAGACATGTCAGACCCCCTAAATTTCGATTTTAATTTTCTTGATCCTCTAAAATACTATTAATTTTCTTTCATAATCCTGATGGGTTTCATTCCCCCTAGTTAAACTCCAATTGTGCTGCATATATGAGAAGAAATAGTTTAAGTATAAAATTGTGAATATACAAAATCTCTTGATCGAAATATATAGTTTTCTTGATTAAAAAGAGAAATAATATCTCTTATACTAAATATAAAAACTAGTTAGAGATTCAATTCAATAGATGAAAATGACTTACTTGGTAGGGAACATAAGTTAATTAGCAAAAATTTTGGAAGATGAGCTGTAAAACGTCAATGATTGAATTGTCAATTCTAAATGGGAGCAAGTTAGAGCTTCAGTCGCAACCTTAAAGTCTTTTCTAAGCTAGTAACATTTTTCATTGTTTTCTCAATCTGAGGTGGTTTAGAATAAAATAAAGAAATGAATATACACACATATGAATTAATCCCACTTTGTTGACTAGGCCTCAAATATCAGCATTTAATTAATAACCGGTCATATTATAGCCTTATCAACACCATTACCCTATATTCATCAATTTAGTGATTAAAAATATGATCATTAACCTTGTAACCATATTAAAGTATATGGGCACGATATAAATTGTATAAATATTCCAACACACACACACACAAAGATAAACATGCAGTGTCAAGGAAAAAAAAGAAAAGAAAAACAAACCGGACTAGCTGGTTTAGCCATAAAACTAGCCAATAGTTCGATTTGGTTTGAATGTTAAATCAGTTATAAATAAACCGATATCAACCTGGTCAAATTAGGGTGAATAGGTGATGAACAGACTTAGACAATTATAGTGCTATTGGTCTTCTTTTTTTTTTTTTTTCATTCAACTCCTAATATTTTAGTCACTATAAATTTTAATGAATTTTAATGATGACATTGATATTAATGATTATTACTTTTAGTTATTGACAAATTGTTACTACTAGAAAAAAAGACTTTTAATGTCACAAAATAACGTGGTTAAGCAGAAAAACGACGTGGAAAAAAGGCAGTGGCATTTTTGTAAATAAGTTGAATAGGTTTTTATTTTCCACGGTGGTTTTTTTGGAAAGTGTGTCCTTTACCCTTCTCCGCGTCATGGTTCCGTCATTTTCGTTCTCCTTTCATCAGTGCGCCGTGGTCCCCCTCTGTCCCACCACTAATAAACTGTCATTCCTCCACTACCGCCCCCACCGTTTAAAACTCCTCTATTGAGCTTGTGGTGCCTTGCCACCGTCCGCCGTTGTTCGAACGCCCCTCATTTGCATCATTCTTTCTTGGCCGTGGTCCCCTCTGTCCCATTACCGAAAACTACCATTACCGGCCATACCCCCCACTATCCCACCATTTAAACTCCTCCATTGAGCTTGTGGGCCATCCGCCGCCGTTCAACACCCCTCATTTCACATTTGAATCTTCTCTATTCTGTGAGTATCCTCTTCTTTCATTCTTTTCAATTTTTCTTGGTTTGTTGAATGTTTTGGCCATGAAAATTTGTTATATATGAAATGGGTTTGTTAGTTTTACATTGTGGTTGGCTTGTATTGTTCATTTTGCATTTTTTATATGGTTGAACAGTTGATTGGTGGACATTGGATGTGAGAAAACCTTAATTCCTTCTTATATACTGTATTAGAAACATGTTTAAATGTTTAGCGTTGATTAGTTGTGAAGTTTTTAAATTTTTTTATAACTTTTTGATATTTATTTCGAATTTTTGGTAATTTTTTTGTAATAAATATAAGAATTTAGTAATAAATAATCTGTTTGTTATTTTGTGTTTTTTTTCTTCGTTATGAATTTTGATTGATAGTAAAATGTGTTTAAATAATCTGTAGAACAATGGATCGTAGTTGGATGAAAGCTAAGAGAATTAGCAAGGAATATGAGGATGGGGTTGAAAAGTTTCTTGAATTTGCTCAGAAAAATGCCCCTAGTAAAAGAGATGGATTGTACTATTGTCCTTGTGTCAAATGTTTAAACAATAGTTGACGGAGTATTTTTGAGATAAAAGAGCATCTTATCTGTGATGGGATAAATTTGAGGTATACAAATTGGATATGGCATGGAGAAATTAGAAAGACTACACTGTCTGCAAATGAGAAGGTTGTGAATGAAGACTTTTGATAGAAATTTAGGATATATTTCGTGATATAAGGTCTGAATCCTCTACACAGTTCTCTTCCACCTTTGAAACTTTTTGTAGTGATGCAGAGACACCTTTCTACCCGGGGTGCAAAGATGATTACACAAGGTTGACAACCATATTGAAACTGATGAATTTGAAGGCAAGAAATGGTTGGACCGATGCTAGTTTTACGGAATTGCTTGAATTGCTGAGTGATATTCTTTCCAAAGGGAATTCACTTCCGAAATGAATGTATGAGGCAAAAAAGATTTTGTGTCTGATGGATTTGGAATATGAGAAGATACATGCGTGTCCAAATGACTGCATATTATTCAGAAATGATTATGAAGGGTTGAATAAGTGCCCTAAATGTGGGACTTCAAGATACAAAATGAAGAAAGATGATGGTGATTATAATGAGATGACCAAAGGTTCTCCTTTGAAGGTTCTGTGGTATCTTCCAATAATACTACGATTTAAGCGTGTCTATTTGCTAATGCCGTAGATGCAAAGAACTTGAGATGGCATTTCGATGAGAAAATATGTGATGGAAAGCTTCGTCACCCAGTAGATTCTCCTCAATGAAAACAATATATCAAAAATTTCCTCAATTTGGTGGCGAGCCAAGAAACCTTCGGCTAGGGCTTTGTACGGATGGAATTAACCCATATGGTAATCTTAGTAGCACACATAGTGCTTGGCTAATGCTCCTCATAATTTACAACTTGCCTCCTTGGTTATGTATGAAAAGAAAGTATATCATGCTATCTTTGATGATCTCGGGGCCAAAACAACCAAGAAACGATATCGATGTGTATTTGGCACCTTTGATTGAGGATATGAAGAAATTATGGGAGGAAGGTGTTGATGTGTTTGATGCATATAAACAAGAGACCTTCAATTTATGTGCCATGATCTTCACCACGATAAATGACTTTCCAGTATATGGAAATTTGTCAGGATACAGTGTTAAGGGGCATAAAGCATGCCCAATATGTGAAGAAGGCACCTACTATATGCAACTTAAACATGGCAGGAAGACAGTATACCTTGGTCACAAAAGGTTTCTTAGTCGGTATCACCCTTACCGTAGATTGAAAAAGGCATTTAATGGCTCACAAGAATATGAAATGGCTCCAAGACCATTAACTGG